TTTTCCAGAATTAAAAATTAAATTAAAAATTCCTTTGTTTTCCCTAGTGGCTCTAATTGTCTCTCGTATGGCTGCCTTATATTAAGACAAAAACAAATGGTCGCTTTGTTTCTTTGTTGTTTAATTTATTGCTGAATAGATGTTTTTTTAACATCCCAACAAAATCATTTTGCATTTCAAGATAGAAAAATAATATTTCTCATAAGTTTTTTCCAACCCCATGCTGCAATAAAGTTTGGGCGCTGCTGGTTTGAAGAAAGGAGAAAATGATTTAGTTTTCCAGGAATCTGGTGACTTATTTGTTACAGTAACTGTAAGGGCTTTTCTTCATTTGCCACAGATTGTCACATGGGATTTATTTCCATTTCAAATCAGTCAGATTCATTCCAGTTCCACCTTCGTTCCAATGCATCCCAATGAGCTTAACTCAATCCTACAATATGGCAGAGCGCTGATGAGAGGAAAAATGGCCGTGATGCCCATCTGATTCCACTTCCTGTTGCTGTCCGCTGCTTCCACATGAACTCAATTGACTGTGACTGTTGTAGTTTCAGCAGAGGGTGAATGTGCTGCATGACGCAGGAGAAAAGGTGCAAAGCAAAACAGATGCATTTAATATGCTTATCTAAAAGGTCGGCTGCTCAAAGGAAATTGACTTGCCTAACTCATTGAAGGCGAGGAAGTAATGAGATGGAATTGTTTATGCATTTACTAAACATCTGTCACAATTGATGCTTTCTCCTTGGTTATTCCAGTACATAACAAAAAAAAGGAGAAAAAACACCTCAGACATTTATTATGCGCCTTGTCACTCCTGTCTTTCACTTTCTAGGTGACATATCTCTTTAAAGCCGTGACGCCGGGAGTCTGGCAGGAGAGCTGGTCACAGATGTAGAGCAGGTGTGCTGATTTCCCCCCACGCAGCAGATCCAGGCTTGGCTTCACTTCCTGCTAAACAACCACACAGATTCTTGGCAATTTCATCCATTTGAAAAGGTACAGGTGTTCCACAAAAAGGTAGAGCATTCTGCTAAACATGCATTCCACAATACAATGGCTCTGCGGTGTCCTATAAAAATGGCCACTTACTGTAATTTCTCTTGAGTAAAAAATAATGACAGTTTATAGAACACAAAGAAACCAGGAGAGCGCCTATGCTTCTCAAAAGAGGCACATTGTGCTAAAGATGTACAACATATGGAGCAGGTTTGAAACGAGCAGAACTACTAGCAGCAGTTTTATCACGATTGTGACAAATTAGTGCAAGTCTGTGTTTAAAACAAAAGAGACAAAGAGCAACTGTTTGACTAAGATGTACCAGTGAATCACAAGTGTTATTGTTTCCCAAGGTTCCAAAACAAATCAATTTAAATCCAAAAATATAACTTAATCCCATCATGTTCTCATATTCAGAGTAAATTACTTATTGTCAAATTCAATGCAAAACAATGTTCATCCATGTTCAGTTTTTACTTAGAAACAACAGCTGACACTTTGAGCTGCTGACTTTGCAACAATCCCTCGTCCAGAAGGAGAACGTGGCGACAGAGTCATGTATTCTGGGCATCATTTGACACCCGTAGGTGTTTATTCTTCAAAACTTAGACTAGATATTAATAAGTAGAAGTTTAAAATAAATGAATTAAACTTGGCGGAATGTATTCTGTTATGAAACATTCACTTTTTCCACGTTTTTATGCTTCCATTTGGGTCTCAACTGCTTCCAAAAGCAGCCCAGGGTCTGAAAAGGAAAACAACAGCAACCACCCAGCCATTGTTTGGCTATAAGTTAATGTCTCTCAGTGTCTGGAAAATGAGCGGTACAATGGCTGCTGGAAAAGACGAGTGTTTTGTTGGAGACTTACCATCCAGAAACGGCTTGTTGCGTTCTTGTTGGTAGTGCAGGAGGCTCCACTTCTGCTTTTCATAGAGGTACGGTTGTATATTTACACATCTATTCGCAGCAGCTTTTATGTGTGAGTGTAAACGTTGATTTGGGGGGCGTGGCCAACAAGACGCCCTACAACGACTCATTCTGAAAGAAATCCCTTTATCTGATAGCAATTTTGAGTAAAAAATTTAATCAACATATTTTAAATATACCACAGGCATAGACTAGCCTGTTCAGTGAAGCATAATAGGTTATCTTTAACATTAAATTTACTATAATGCATTGTTAAGACAACAATGTAGTCCACACATCAGTAATCATAGTTGCAAAAATTAATATGAAAACATTGATTTCAGATTTATTGCAACCTGGTATGTATAACTTCCTTTTAAACTGGACAAACTTTCAGATTGAAAACTTTTCTTTTGTAGATCTGAATCAGGAAGTCTAATCCCAGCAGATGATTTTATTCGGCTGTGAGAGCCATTCATTGTTTTCGTTCCTCTCACTGGTCAGGTTTCGGCCGTAAATGAGGCTTTGCCCATTTTTATGTTGTCTGGAAGCAGCCGGCTGTAATGTTTCAGGGAGGCGATAAGAACCGTTGAGGGCAGCTGTGATGATGTTGTTGTACAAGGCTGCAGTACATTGTGCGCCTCTTTACTCTGCTGAGTCCATTTATTACTTTGGTTCCAGGATTTGATCCAGGAAACCTGCGTCTAAAGTCAGTGGGGAATAAGAAACTAAGGAACAAGCTAACACAGAATAACACAAGCTGGGTGGAGGCTACGCTTGTCAACGCAGCGTTCCCTGGTTTGATCCCCAACCCTGGACCCAAAAAAATGTAAAAATGCTACCTGAAAATCTGCCTTCTGTTGCTTTAATTGGTGTTTCAGAAGTCTCTGCTTCAGAGTTGCCCAGATAGCTTAGACTAAACAAATTAAAGCCAAGAAAAAGGAGCAGAGCGACATCTTACACAAAAGTGAGACACAGGATTTGTTCCAGCAGACTTCACCCAATCCAATCAAGTGGGCTTTTCTGGATGAGTTCTCCAGCAATTCTGGCATCTCCCAGAAGAAAGCACTCGAATTAACCTGTCCTTCAGTAATGAGGAAATTAGCTTTTTGAGCATCACAAGTATGATGATATTCTCCCACATTCAGCAGTTCCTTTATTGCCCTTAAAATGTGTCAGAAGCAATTCAGCCCACATGATATGCAGCTTCAGTTCAAAAGAGAAACAAGTTATATTCTTTTCTCTTTTTAATTTAAATAGTACGTCAAGAATAAAATGAGGTGCAGATATTGTGGTGGAAGCTGCAGCTGGTTAATTGGACGCTCTGTGGGTGTTGATGATGATAAGTTGCCAAGATTTGAGGTCAGACACAAGATTTGCACCAGAATCAAAAGGTGCAACCTCTCAGTTTTAAAACTGTGGCACAAAAGGAGGCAGCATGTTACTTTGTTTAAAAAACCCCCCAAAAAACTCTTTTTTTGTGTAAACTGTCGCTTTTTGAAGATTTATTCACTCTGTTCTCGATGATGTGCAGTTGGGAGGATTTTTTGCTGATGCTGGTCTACTTTTGGACATTCGTTGTGCTGCGTAACCATGGCAACAAGGAAACAGCTAATTGATATTTCACAAGTTCAAAAAAATACGTCGACTAAAGCCAAAAAAAATTCATGCGAGTAGAAGAGAAGGAGGGAGTTCAACCAAAAACTGCAATTGGCAAAAAAAAAAAATGAAGTCAAAAACCCGGCCAGAGTTTTGGCAACGGACTTTGCTGTGTTGTTATTGGGCCTCCCGAAACAATAAAGTCTAAAATCTAAGTTGGAAAAATCAGAATATTTGTATTTCACTGAGACATGGCGGCGGCAACGTCGAGCAGATAAAGATTTAAAGCAGAGAGGGAAAAGACAAGAAGGTGGATTGGAAGAGCTTACAGACAACAGATGGTGTAATCCATCAGTATTGTGAAGAGTTATCTCTGCAGCCTGGATGTTGATCTGCTAACTGTAAGTTTTTATTCATATGCATCAAGAAGAGATCACCAGAGTGTGAAACCATCAGCTCAAATGTTTCCAACCTTGTGGAAATATCTGATAAACGTCCGACATTTCTGCAGCTGCGTTTCCATTAAAACCTTTGTTGATATTCTGCTCCTGTTAAAACTCCCATAATTTAAAAATTGCGGCGTTTCCATTAAATAACTAATAAAAACCAGGTTTTGTTCACATAATAAGTCATTAGGAACAGTGCCGCTTCATAATCCTCCAACTTCTTCCTGTCGTTTTCTTCTTCGTGGTTTGCGCCAGAGACAACATCCGGTTGTGACGGTTGCAGTTTTACTAAATAAACCAATTTTGTTTAATAAACCTGATCCTGGCACTAAAATGTTCTTGAAAAATGAGTTTTTTTCAAAATTGACATGTTTCCACTTAGCAAATTGATTTTCTTAATGTCAAATTGTGCAATTATTATTATGGAAGTCATAATAATAACTGGTCAGCTGCTCTAACCAGAGAAAACAAACCAATGACAAACTAATAAAAAGGATTTTCTGGACCTTTGACCTTATCTGGAAATACAGTTTGTTGGATAATATGATTTAGAATCTTAATTTGATTTATAAAGTATTTCTGAATTGAACGCTGGATGGTACAGACATTCCATGGTTCTAAATATATCCAATTTATTTTTCTCACGTTACTTTTTCCAAATTTTCTTTCAATTTAATTGGTCATTAGCACACATAATGCTTAAATAGTTGCTTTTTCTTCACACTTCTAATATAAAAGCTTTGAATATTAACAGTCCTCTCACCTGTTGTACTGTCAGCGTGAAACTGCACTTTGTTTAGTTAATATTGTTCAGGTTGAGTGAATAAAATTAAAATTATTTTCTTTTCTTTAGGAAAACAGACCTGATTTTCTTCCAAAAGTCGAAAATGTTTTTGTTTTCTTTTAGCTTTTTCTTGTTTTGGAGGTAAAAACACAAGTAGCATTTTTAAAAAAAATAATATTTTAACTTTATTGCTCCCAAAGCGTCATGATTGAGTTTGGTTCTATCAACCATCACTATGGAGAAAACAAAATGGCAGCCAAAACATGGGTAGTTTGTGAAGTTTAATGTTAAACTGCATGATTTTTTTCCCCACATATTAGATACAATGTTCATATTTACATCAAACATAACTTGAAAAATGTAAAGCAAACGAACAAAAACGGTTTTAAACTGTTTCACAGTTTCATCCTTCAAGCCTGGGCCATAAAACGTCTCAGAAATCTATAATTTATTCAAATTTTGAAAACAAATGTGGCTTTCGCTGTTTGTAAAGTGATAAAAAAAAAACAAAGCAGAATGCAAACCTTGCAATCTTATAAAATCCTGAACAAAAATGTTGAGTGAAAACGTATCTGGCAATTATCATATTTAAAATGGAGTACAGACGGACGACTATATGTAAATGCCATTGTGAGCAGCAAATAGAAGCACTTACACGTCATTTTTAACAACAATATTAAAAATATTAATAAAAAGGGAGGGGCTTATTAATATTAAACGTGTCACATAAAGACAAAGATGTGTTTCAGTGTTTTTTTTTTCTTTTTTTTCCTCACACAGCAGGTACAGAAATATCAAAGTCCTTCAGCGGTTCCAAGCAGACACCACCGCTTAAACTAAACGCTAGCACACATATCAGGCCATCGCAAGACAACAAGGTGAGCACAGGAGAAAGTCTCACAAGTTTTAACTCTATTCCAAAAACCACCAGTATGAGTAAACACTAAAGTACCTTTCAACATCGTCAGGATTTTTTGTTTTTTATTTATTTCACGTCAAGCACAAACACAGGAAGTTTCTTCACGGATTTTTTTCCTCCCCACACAAACGTCGGACATGGCGAAACGGTGCAAACTTTTTTGTTTTTCTGCAAATGTGTGTCTGGAGGGCTTGAGTGCATCCTGAAACTGGCTCAAACATTTTACCATCTTAGCTTATTTATGGTCTGAAATGAAAAGTCACACTGTAAAATGGACTCTGAAAATAAGTGTTACTTTATACACCTAAGCATTCTCTAAAAAAATACAGTTTAGTTCTACCACAGACTAGTTTTAACTCTTTAGGCTATAAATTAGAACAAATTATATAAAAAAAACAGTTAAATACGTTAAATGTGTGGGTTGTCCTTGGAAAAGCCAATTCTTTAGTAATGATAGCCAAAGTAAAAACCAGTAACTGCTGGTTTTCCTGAGGACAAGCCAGGTTTGTGATTGTCTTCACGTATTACTCCTGCATTGAGGAAAAAAGCAAAACGAAAACTCCTGTTACTTGATAACTGTGCAAAGGACCCACAGAGAAACGAGCCTCAACATCTCCAGCTAACTTCACAAAAGATATGGAAAATACAGCATATGGTAAAGCGATCATGTAAACTGGGATTGTGCAGCGCGTCGCTAATCAACAGCAGTTTGTCTGTTTGCCGTTAAAATATAAGGTGGCTCTACTGTAAACGTTGGCAAGAGAAGCAAATTAACAAAAACCGACTGGAACAAATGTCTTTGGCAACTACTGGTAGATATCGATGAAATACCAATCTGGTGGTTTGTACCGCCAACATGAGAGAAATAGCAGATGCTGTTGAGTTCAAGCCCTTTGATCTTTGTTCTGGTTAATGAGGATAACGCTCCGATCAAATTAGAGACGCGCCGATCGATTGGCTGCAGATCAGAATTGACCAGTTTTGCCCGATTTTTCCTATTAATTTATTGATGAGTCAAAACTAAAAAAAAAAAAAAAAAAAAAAAAAAAATCACTAAATAAACTGATTCAGTTTATTTAGGTTCAAACATAGTTCTCATGTGATGTCACTTCTGGTAGCTTTGTAACCGACAGCCATCTTGGTAGGTGCCCTTAACTGTCAGGCGGTTGCCATGGAGTTGCTATGACAACAAGCAAGCCACATTCTCTGCTGTCAAGATATTTTGTTGATATATCTTCCTCATCAATCTTTTTTATTTTTCAATATACTTTCTTTTTGTTGGTGTCAAAGCCGTGGTGTTTGCCTACCAAGATGGCGGCTCAGTGGCTTAGGTCACTTCCGTGTCAGACTTGTGGGAACTGTGTATAAAAAAAAAGGATAAATTGTAATTCCTTCATTTTCTAACAACAAATTGGGAACATATTTTCCCTTGTTTGCTGTATTTCTTCAAAAATAAAGTCAAAAATTAAAAGAGGCAGCCATCTTGGTAGTCAGAAAAAGCCTGATCGGTGCATCTCTAGTTCCAATACTCCCAAAATAGCAGATCTTAACAGCAAAGCAGGTCAGAATAGTATCGAGAGATTCTGTTGGAAAACTGCAAATTGAAAGTGGTATTTGATTGGGTGGTCCATGTCGTAGCTCAGATTTTCTACTTTTTTTTTTTTCTTACCATCAAAAGAAACACCCAATCACATTTACAGTATAGAATGACTTTTAAGCAAGCAACAAAACAAAACCAAAACCAAAAGAAGCACATTCCTATGAGAAGTGACGACTGCGGGGAGGACGAGGACGAAAAGAAAAAAAGAAAAAGGGAATCTTCAGTGGCTTTTTCTGTACATGATTGAATTGTTGGCAAATAAACAAAATACAGATCCTTGCAAAAGTATTCAGACTTTGAACTTTTCCAGATTTTGTCACGTTGCAGCCAGAACCTTAAACGTGTTGTACTCGGATTTTATGATCAACCAACACAATGCATTAGGTAATTGTGAAGTGGAAGAGTTTGAATTTCACAAACAAGAGTCTGAAAAGTGTGGCAAACATTTTAAGTCAGCACCATTCACTCTGACACCACAAAATAAAATGTTTTGGAACGTCGTAGAGGTTTTCCTCCAGATCATTTAGTATCTTTCTATCAACTGTTACCTGGTTTCTGCTGAAATAGTGTCAGCATAATGCTGCCACCACCATGTTTCACAGTATATCTGGCTTTCAAAACGGATTAATTTGACTGGAGCACATGCAGTACCTGTTTCCGCCACTAGATGGCAGAAAATGGCAAATTTCAAGCAAGACTATAACTTTTTAACGTTTTTTTGTTCTTCCAACTTTTCAATAAAGTCTATTTCACAAATGAGTACAATTCAGATGTTCAACATTACAAAGATTAGAGGAAAAGAAGCTGAATGCGACACACGACACTTTTTGTCGTCAAATGTCAAAGAAATAAAATAAAATAAATAAAAAAAAAATTGCGACATTTGTTGTGTGTCCACCATACCATACAGCCACCATCAAATATATAAATACTGCGGTTGCAATGTGGCAAAATGTGAAAAAGTTCAAGGGGAATGAATATTTTTTTCAAGGCACTGTAAAGGTGGGGGAACAATCAACAGAAACAGGAAGTGTGGGCACACATACGGGGTGAAGGCTCGAGTGGTGGAGGCAGGCATTCGGTGGCGACTACGCTAAAACCACAAGGTGACTGAGGTCCTACAGCTTCTGTGGAGCAAGCAGCACACAATGCACAAGGGGTCAGAGGCAGGGGAGAGCCCACAACTACACTAAGCTCAGGTAATAAATAAAAGCAAGGTCAGGGACGGATGCACGTCTCTTTTTCTTCGCTATTGGAGAAGCGTACGCCGCCGACGGTCACACGGATTGCTCCTTGGGGAAAGTGAATCCGGCTCGTGGGGCGTGGGCGGGGAAGCTGGTGTTGGAGTACATGGGCTCGTTGGTTGGGTGCTGAGTGTAGGGATGCTGAGGCAGGAAAGTAACAGGCGGGTAGGCCGGAGCAGACTGGGACTCGGGGACTTGTTCCATGTTGGAGGCTCGTTGGTAGCTCATGTATTCAGCCGGGTTCAACAGCTCTTCTGGTTGCTTCCCAGTTTCCTGCAAAGATGAGATGAACAATCTGTAGGGAGTTTTAACCTGAACACAGAGAGGATTTATCTTTTCAACCTTTGCAAAGGGGGAGAGTTAGAGCATCACAAAATCACAGCTGTTCCTCAAAACAAATCCAACTCGCCCCCCTGCTGCAGCCTGGTTCTGTTCGAAGCGGGGCGGAGGTTGGTTATAGAAACAGAAACTTAACCCTTTGATGCATAGTGGTCACTACAGTGGACAGCTGTCTAAAAGCCATTTTCTTGTGCTTCTTATGTTATAAATGCACACAGACCACTGAAGTGGACAATAATGCATCATAAAATACACTACCAACTACTGGCCATCAGCTGCAAATGCAAGAAATTATTTTTGTTGAATCCAATATGGCCGACAGACAAGAAATCACGCCAACCGAGCCGGTCCCTCCTTCTATTGCAGGTAAAAAGAAATATTGACACATCAGATAACCCCTAAAGAACAATACTACTGATGTATTTTTCAAATAACAATTTTGTATTTGGAGAAAATTACAATTGATAACTAAAAAAAAATAAAAGTTTTTTTTACAACATTTTTTTTCCTACCTTTTTTTATGCCTTAAGAAAATAAAAAGAAATCCTGACACAAAGCATCATAATTCATGCATGAAAGGGTTAACGATAAGCAGCAGGGGTCTGTCTGAACCGGCTGAAACCGGTTTCTCCAAGAACAGGACGGTCCACGTATCCAGTTTGAGCCAAGAAACCAACAACTTATTCATAACTATTTACAAAACTCTTACACAATCCTTCAAGAAACACTGGTTTACATTTTAAAGATAAGCATTACATGAACAGAAATAAACCTCTGACCATCATGCATTGCTGCATTTTATTCAGTAACCCTGACTGGTTAATTAAACCAACTGGTGGGAACTGTGTAATATACACATTTGGTTTTATGTCCCAATAAATACACATTGTTAGAGCAGCTTTATAACAGCAGCAGATGTGGCAGAAATATGACATATGTGCATAATTGGCTCCAAACTGTTTGCAATTAAGGGGCGTATTGTTTATAAATTAAACTGTAGTTGCAAATAACAAAATGCTGATTGAAGCAAGTTGAGGGCGTTTAATATCAAAGCATGAAAAAAAAGTGAAATAGATTTAATGAGAAAATATTTTTTTAAAACATCAGTTTTTGATCACATATTGCCTTTTCAATTATAACAGTTGTGTAAATAAATAGATATTTGCTCCAGTCTTTTGTTCCATTTTGTTATCTCAGCCCCAACATTTCCCATATGCAACTTAATATATTCCCTTTAGTTACATCTGAATAACCGATGTAAATGTAGGCCTCAGACATTCTCCTAAATAATTAATTTAAATACAGTTTGCAGCAGGGCTAAATTATTAGGGCAATAAAAGGAATGGTAAAAAATAAATCCAATTTTCTCAGATTACATCATTCATGAGTAATCTGAAAAAATGTTTTTTTGTAAATCTTTTACATCAGCTCATAAGCAGAAGCAGCATTTTCTGAAAATATTTATGAGTTAATGATGAAAAGCCAAGAAACGGTTGGTTTACAAACGAGTACGATACAATGAAAGCAACTCTTACTGAACGTAAATAGTTAAGCCATCTGATTTTAGCTTAGAAATTAATTGTTGGATAATAGCTAATAACAAAATTATAACAAAACTTCATCCTACTGAGATTCAAATTCTACTAAAATCTAAATTAAAACCTAGATTACATCTTGCGTTTGTTTTCCTCAAAAGCGAAGTTATTCTTGCGTGATTTTTGGCAGCTGTGAACCCCGTATTGCTGTTGCATCATTTCTTTGTTAGATCAAAACGTTCTCTGAATGTGATGCATCTAAAAAAATAAAAGGATTCATAATCATCTTGCAGATGTTTTTCTTTAAAGTCAGACTTTCTTCTCCCAGTTGCAACCTGCGCTGTATTATCACTTTAGAGGCTCCATGTCTGAATTGTTTGAAAGGTTAAATTCAGTAACATAGCATCTCCTCACAGGGTTTTTCAGGCATTGAGTTAATTTTTCTGCTGTCTTTTTAAATTAAATTTAGTAACAGAGCCCTAAGTAGGAGGAGAGTCAAATTTCCAACACAGTAAATTGTATTTTGTTGACATCAGCAACGCTTCCTGCTCCTCTCAGGTGTGTTTTGCTTTTTATAACTCAAATTTAATCAGTCCACTGAATCACCACAAATTTATGACAGAAACTCAATTACTTAAAGTAAGGCTACTAAGTGCAATTGTAGCAAACATCTCTCTCAAACAAGATTTTAATACGTTGCCTTTTTTCCTTTTGTACAACATTCAATGGAAGTATTTCAGTCCTGCTTGTGATCTACTGCTGCTAGAAGAGTCTCTTTGGCAGCACAGAGGTTTTACCTGACAGCACCTATTGAATGGTTCAGCTCACAATGGGGAAGGTCAAAGGAGCAAAGCTGAGGAGGAGGGCGACAGTTCTGGACATCCCATTTAAAATAAAATCCCTGCAGATTTGTTTCATCAACATGCATCCTGTCAGATTAAATGCACACATGATGATCCATATCTACACTGTTTGGTCACAACAAAAACACACACCCTCGGAAGTTCATTGGACCGTCTTTGTCTTTGATTGCATAACGCCTTCACTTCGTTTCAAAAACACTTCTGTATGTATTTAATCATTCACACAAAGAATCATGATCTCACAGTACATAACTAAAAGCGTGGATCGGGTCTCTGAAGAAGCTACTGAAAGCTAATCGAGTCCGACACCCGATCAAAACTATTTCCAGCCCAACTCAGAGATACAGACTGTAATGTCTCCACACTGGTGAAACGTAATTCATGGATGGATGTTTGCTGAACCTGGAGTTGACCAGCTGCACTCAGACGCTGCTGCAGCCGGCGCTGGGTATGACGGGCGAACGGCTGCCTACTTCTTCTCTCTGGAAGAGCATTAATCTGGAATCAGCAGATGATGTGACTTTTTCCATCACTCTAGAGTTTAATCTTTAAGCTCCTTTGCACATTTGAGCCTTAGGAGTTTTATTAACCGTTCAGGTCCAATCCCGTAACTTCCCTTCATATTGTTTGCAAGCGCTCAGGTCTTCGCGATCGTTCAGGATTTTTCCTTTTTTACCAGATTTCTTCGTAAAAGTCAATTATTTTTTCCCTTCTTTCCAGTTTTTTATAATGCATTTGAATAATTTCTGCATTCTCCTTTAATGTTTTCTCTTCTTGATTTGACCTTTAACATAGAGATTAACATCTTTTCCACAGTGACAGGATCTTGAAGATATTAGTTGAGTTTATCATCTATTCAGTGATTATCCAATAGGAGGGTAGAATCTATTTTTTATCAGTCAGTTTTTATCATGTAAAGCACTTTGAAATGCCTTGCTGCTGAAATGTGCCATACAAATAAAAGTTGATTGAATTGTATTAATCTTCTCAACACACTGAGAAGCAAAGTAAATATTGCCAAAACCTGCTGTTGGAATATCGCCTTCATGAGCAGTTACTGAGGGATGGCAGAAAAAAAAAACTAAACAGGAGCTTTATGTAGACATGTGGAGGTTGATGGACTTTAGTGGCACTTTAGCAGGAGCTGTCATCTTTGGTTTGTAGAGATTTGGGCAACAAACCCTCCAGTTGGGCTGGATGTGGAAAAAAGGATGAATTTGTTGAAAATATGTTGACTATTTGAATATCTGGTTTGCTTAGTATGGATAATCTGTGATGCTGTCTTAACATTTTCTTTCCCAGAAGTCCTGGAAACCTGGCTGGAGTGCACAGCATCATGAAATCTTAGAAAAACCAAAACATCTGTAAAATTAGGCTCTCCAGGTGAATTTAAACTGACTCACTGTTGGGGCTTTTAACACAAACATAATCACTAGGCTTTGAAACTCAAACTTTTTAGACCACTTATAAGAAAATATAATAAAGAGGCCATAATAATGTCTCCGTGTGCTCCAACTTAAACGTCCAGGAGTTTCCCTCTTGGATTTTACGTTTGGGCAGCAGCCCTGGTTCTTATAACTACAGAACCAGGTCTTTTGTCAAAAAATACATCTCCCCCATGCTGAATTAAATCAAATTTAAGGTTGAATTGTTCTACCTGTTAACAGGTTAACACTACTTGCTGCAATAAAACATTAATTAGTTTTAACATTAGTCCAAAAAAACTGACCTGGAACATTCATCCAAACTTAAGATTCTCCATCACTTCTGAGCCCAAACATGCAGAAAAGGGTAAAGGTCTTGAAAAGACAGTGATGATGACGACGGGTAGACATGCAAACACAAACCGGGGTGAGGATGAGTGTGAAATGAAACTCACGAGTCTTCCTCAAGCATCTCTACATCTACGAATATGATGATCCCGACTCTGAGAACGTTTTGCGAGGCAAATGAACCACAGAAAGGCAGAAATAAGAACAACAACAAATGTTTATCCGAACATAATTGCACAAAATGTCGTGTTGAAGGGGTACGTTTGAGGGAAATATAGAGGAATAATGCAAAGCAAAGGCTGTTTAATTAAATTAGATTTAGTGTCACACATGCACTTAAGGAGACAAATAAAAACGGAGGAGTCGGGACGCTGAATGAGAACATGACATAAACACGGCGGATCTGAGGAAGACAGACGAGGAGCTGTGAGCTTCTGTGAAAGGTGAACTGATTTTCAACAAAACTGCTGCTGACAAACGCCGGAGACGCTGACTGAAGTCTAAAAAGCCCATTTGTCTCAGGTCAGCGTCGACGGCCGTTCCCGCTGCTAAAGAAAACTCTTTCCTCTGTCAGGTTATTATTAACGCCTTTGAGAAGTCCTAAATTAAAACCAGCAGTCTGAGGTGCAGGTTTGCCATTTTATTCGTTTCTGGGATTTAGATCTACAGACACAAAGTGCTGACATGACTTTGAGTCAAATTTTTATCTCGCACATCTTTGGTTGTTTATTCTAGATTAACTATTAACTCTATTCTGAGGAGAA